AAAAACTGGATAATCAAATATTTTAACCTTTGGGAGCTTTATTTAGGCTTACTTAGGTTAATGTTTCTCTTTTCATATTTTAGGAATGATATTCAGCATTTTTTGTGAGTTAATTTGAAGATGAGAGGGTATTTTATGTTAGTTCAGGCTGTCATAGGAAAATACCATGTACTTGGTGGCTTAAACAACAGAAATTTATTTTCTTTCAATACTGGAGTCTGGAAGTCTGGGACCAGAGTTCTCTTTCAGTAGATCAGACTCCTGTGAGGGTCCCTCCCTGGCTCTTAAATGGGGCCTTCACTTCCTCTCATGGCAGAGAGCACCTAATGTTTCTTCCTCTCCACCAATTCACTAATCCCATGATGGGGGCTCCAATCTCACGACCTAATCTAAGCCTTATTACTTCCCTAAGGACCTACCTACCTCCCAGGACTGTCACATTGGGGACTATCTCTTCAACATCTGAATTTTAGGGAGCACAAGTCCATGCACAGCAACCTAAAACTGGTATTTTAATATGTGTCATAGTGTGGAGTCACAGAGGCACCACTGAGACACAGAGTTGGGGGAGCAACTAGAGGCAGGTCACACTTTCCTGTCCATTGAAACCTAAAGAGCTATGTTTGTTTTTAAATTGTATTTGATGTTACATTATTTCTGGGAGGAGTTCTGTGGGAAGAAACCAACCTAAGAGCACTGAGTTGATTGAGTTGCTTTTGTTCCCATTCTGTCCTGGCAGAGCAGGGGTGCTCTTCTTCCTGATGGTCTACCAGTGTCTCAGCAGCGTGTCAGTGATGGAATTCTTTGTGAACCAGAATCAGCTCTTTCTGTGAGTTGGTCTCTGTTCTGGTAAGGGGCATTGCTGGCTGGGGGAAAATGTTCAAACCCAGAATTGGAACTGAAATGTGATTCTTGAGATTACTGGTATTTTTCTTTTCTTTTTCTTTGTATTCTTTTCATTTTAAATTGCATATCTTTATCATGTACAACACAAGCTTTTGAAGTATATATAAAGATTACTAGTATTAATTGAGAAAAAGCAAAATCTTGATTGGGGTGGAAAAATCAAGAGTGTATAGGGCCTGTTACAAAGAAAAGTGAAATTTTATGGAGGGTATGGCAGCAAATACCAATTCTGTGGAGAGGAATAAAGGGGCTGAGAAATATCTTTTGTTTTTAGAAAATAATAGGCCATAATGACTCTCTCAAAGAAATTTTCAAGAGATTTGGTAGAGATTAATTGGTAGCTTAAGCAGCAATTTGGAAACAGGGTATGAAGTTGACAAAGTATGTGCCAAGAACAGCCCTGAGTGAATCATAGACTGGAGAGAGCCAGAGGGCAGCCTTACAGGAAAGAGCAGGGTGGTTCTACCCCTGTATTTTTCAAAGATGGAGGAGATTTGTCCATGCCTACATTCCCAGGACAGGAATCACCAGAGAGGGAAGGAGTGAAGATTGTGGTGAAAGAGTTTGGAATTTGGGGAGAAAGGTGCCAGGAAGAGGGGATTTGATTGCTGACAGTGGTGCAATTGGAGGCATGATCACTGAAAGAAGAAGTATTTTTCTTTTTTTAACATGAGAGTAGAAGTAAACAAATTTAGTGATATCAAGCGGCTTGGAGGCCTTGGAAAATAACAATGTCAGCATCTTCCCACTCAGAAATGGGGAAAAGGAAAAACAACAGTTACCCCTGAGATTGTCCCATAAAGTGCTACTATTCAGGCTGAGGCAACCTCAGAGGAGAAGTAGAGTCTCTGAGGAGAGTGAGGGGACACAGATTGTGTGACCCTGGAGAGGTAAGGTGGGGCCAGAGTGGGCGGCAGCAAGATGGGGTCACAGCAAGAGTCTCATGGGGTGATGCTCCAGGGAAGCTGCACCTGAGGTGGAGAAGGGTGTAGGAGGTCATCCTGGAGCTTGTGGGAAGCTGTAGAGTTAGACCTGGTGGCAGCAGGAGTCTGCACAACAGCATCTCATCTGGGCTGTGTCTTCTTGGACTAATTGGGATGTGTGGTGTGTGTTTTTGTTCTGCAGACACGAGCACATCAGTGGATACTACAAGGTGTCGTCTTATTTCTTTGGAAATATATTATTTGATTTACTATCCAGGAGGTTCTTGCCAAGTTTTATATTTACTTGTATACTTTACCTCATGATGGGTGAGTAACAAGACAAATAGGATGTGTCTTTAGTTGGATATGTAAAAAATTTAAGTTCTGTTTGCAAACATATTTTTGATTCCAAAAAAATATTTTACAAGCTATAAGGGAGGAATCATGTATCTATTGTATACTCTCTAGAATAGACTTTTGCCCAAGTAAACGTTAAAATGTATTTACAAAATTATATTTTTCTGAGGGATGCCATGTGTCATACTCAAACACGGAAAACATTTGTGGAACTATTTAAGACTGCGCTATAGGAGCTGGGATATTTAATGCCTATCTATATTTTTCTGTATATCCTACTTATGTATCTCTATATAGAAATAAAATATACATAAGCAGATAATATCTCTAATATCTGCAGAGATATGTAGAGAGAGATAAAAAAGAGTGTACATATATATTCTCCCCCTGTCCCCTTCTCTAAGATGGTGATTTGGGGATTTATTGATGTTATAAAAGTACTCATTTGTTGAAGTAGACAGAATAATTTGTGCATTATGCTCTGGCTTCATTGAATTCTTATTTCTATATGTTTCACTGTTTGGTACATGCACACACAAATACACACACTCACATATACATATACACACACCGGAATATACTTTCTTTGACAACATACTAAAGGAGAACCAGTAATAGAGCTTAAAATTTTCATTTTACTAATAAGAAGTATGTCATAAGATTAGGTATGGAATCTAGAACAATAGATAGATCAAACAATAGATCAGTGTTCTTGTAACTGTTTGAAATCTTCAGACCATATCACACAGATCATTAGTCATGATAATTATAAATTAGCTTAAGAAACTTGACAGCCCCATTTTCAATCACAGAACCATGTGACAATTATTCTAAGGGCTTTAGCTTATGAAGACACCTCCCCTCGGTAACATGAAGGGACACAATGAAATTTGTGACCCAGAGTAGTTGCATAGTGGATGAGATTTGTGTTCTCTTCTTCATTTCTCAGAATACTGTAGTGCTATTGGCACACAAAAAAAATAGCCCTCAATATACCATGAGTTACACAGAACTGATCCCTTCCTTTCTTTTTAAGGATTAAAACCAGAAGTGGAGGCTTTCTTCATCATGTCCTTTACCCTCATGATGGTGGCTTTTTCATCCATTTCCTTGGCACTGGCCATAGGTGCAGGTAATAGTGACACAACTACAGCAACACGTATTGCAGACATCTATTTTATATTTATGATGGTGAGTGTGTACTGTTCTTCTCTGGGACACAATTTTTCCCCTTGCTTATGCTTGTACCTTCTTGTCACGTAAGCCAGCTGCAGTATTCTGTGTTTGTGATTTTGATGCTTTTAGGAGGTCACAGACTGAAATATGGTTTTGTTAGTTTATAATGTAGTTACTTAACTTAAGCACCATGTCCTCACTAATGTAATTTTAAAAGATTTCTTGCTGACATATTATGAAGCCCTTGATAAATTGGAACTTACAAAACCAGAATAATTGGCTGATTCCCTCACAAAAGTCACCAGGCTGTCTGCCTGCCTTTCATGCTGGTGTTAGAGAACCCAGCTGTTTTACCAGCAAGGTGGTTTGGTTGGATTCATTACTCTCCAATGTGAAGGTCAAGATTCATGAGGAGTGTAACAGGAGTCTAGCTTGGATATTTCCTATATCTGTGGGTCTAGCTTGGACATCTTTATAACAGGGAGTCTAGATGGACACCTCTTGCATTTTGATAATGTTTTAAAATTACAGGAAAAGTATAAAGTCCATAGTAGTAGCTCTTGTCTGGTTTCCTGAAAATCTCCCACCATGTATTTCTGTTTCATCTTTTCAAAATCATGGTTATTAAATCTTTATCTTTCATGCTCCTAAAATTTGTACTCACATAAATGAAACAATAGATAAACAGAACCTATTACCTCACTTTACCCCCTTACAACATCAGCTAAACAAACACGTTCAGCCTACAATAGGAAGAGATGGCTTTCAGTGACACATATGTAGCACATATACTTTAAACACATTTTTTATTAGTGTGGTTATCCATATAGTTATCCATAATGTCAGGGTTTGACATAATCATTCAGGCTTAGCTTGCACATACTCTTGCCAAAGTTTAGTTCTTCGCTTTCTGAATTTCAAATCTACCAATGTATACCATTGAGAAAGTGATATTTATATTTCATCTGCTATAAAGAAAGTGTCCTTCAAAAAATAAAGATGTTTTGTTTGATTTATTTGATATATGATTGTTATTTAAAGGTTTCTATGTAGAAATTTAAAAATGCAAAAATTGCTTTTCACCCAGAGAAAGGTCAAGGGTGGCATATGCAGGCACAACGCAGCTCTGCCATTGCTGTGCATATTCTAACCTCCTTTGCGTCAGTTGGGTCATGTGTTGTGTGGGTCTCTTAGCTGCCTCTCATTCATCTCCAGCATTTCTTCCTGAGTCAGCATTGCAATACTGCTTACTCATAGCTTTAAATGGGGGGATTTACCACATTTTCTTCTACTATACCACCTTAGGCCATTTATCAGTTCTAGGCTTTGGGAAACCTGAAGCCTGCATTCTGAAACCCAAATTCTTAACATCATGGATACAAAATACAAACTCTTGTAAACAACAAATCTTGTTGCTGTTTGGAAGTAGAGAGGAATACGTAATGCTCAGGAATGTCCCTCTATCTATTCCTAATTTTTGGGATTATTAGGGGGGGAAAATGGTAATAGTATAATAAGAAGAGTCAGGAGTCAGCTCATTGTGTCTGTGAGTTCTGCATTGGAAGATTCAACCAACCGCAGATGAAAAACATACAAAACAAGAATTATGTCTCTACTGAATATGAATAATAGCTTTTAGTTATTATTCCCTAAACTATAACATATATATGGTTACATGCCTATGGTATAAGCTACATATGTAGCATTTATATGGTATTTGATATTATAAGAATCATGGAGATGATTTAAAATATAAAATATGTTCATAAAGCATAAAGGATTTACTTTGGGTTCCATATTTTTAAAATGTGATGCTATTTTGAAATAAAGGGATCTGAACATCTGCAGATTTTGGTTTCTCTGTGTGGGTCCTGGCACCAGTTTCCTTTGGACACCAAGAGACAAGTGTACTTCTTAATCTTCCATTATGTAGGAGTACAGAGAATGTTCTTGACAGAGTATTGACAATTAAGGATCTTCCAAGTAAGTAGAATATATAATATAGATTATACTCTATTTTCCTTAACTTAAAACCATAAGCAGCCTTAGCCATGCAGAAATTTACACATGCAAAGGAAGACTAATGTTTAGGGCAAGTGCAAAGTATTTCAAGAGTTGTTCCTAGAGGAAATGTTTAGAAGGTTGTAGGGTTCTTGGAGCCTATCTTCTCTAGAATTTCTTATGAAATTCCTGGACCAGTTCTAACCCATGATTTTTATTTTTGTAGATTTTTTTGGGTCTGTCATTATATTTTGAAAACATGACTCCTCAGCTCTCATGGATTCATTACTTCAGCATTCCTTATTATGGCCTAACGGTAAGGTGTCCTTGACTGTCACTGTGAGTGGGTCCCCAAGGTGGGAACAATGCAAATAAAATCTACCCATCTGTTTCCCCTGCCATGACCTATGAATACCTTCCATCCATAATTTCCTTTCAGGAGCAATGGATGAGGATTTCCTAATAGCCTTTTTTAAGCACAATGTCAGGGACTCATTTCTGGTTTTCTTTAGTCACCCTGTGGTTTGAGGGCAAAGAAGGGTGGGGAGAATAAATCTCATAGTAGAGCAGAAAGATTGATGAAAACATTGTGTTTCAGTTCAATGAGGAAATAAATAAAGGGATAGGAGACTGAGATATTTAGCTTATGATTAAAGGGAAATTATAAGAGAAGCAGAGGCTAAATAATACTCCTAGCCCTATAGCTCTAGCAAAGGAATCAACTCCAAAGAATGCTGTTTCTTAATGCAGTGTAACCAGATTCTAACTCCTATAAGTGATTTTGATGAAAACAAGAAATCATCATTACCATAAATCAGTATTATTCACTGAGCAATACTGTATCATTTTGGTTATAAAGCTTATAGGGTTATACAATTAAGGAAAGAAGAAGGAAGTCGCTATGGGATTCCAGCAAGAGGTCTCCCTTCTTGGCCAATTGGAAGCAATATCCCAACCTTAGGCCTCTTGATTTCCAGGGGCAATAACTTTAGTTACTTCGCTGTGGTACACTATGAATATGCAACTTGGTATGCCTTTGAAAATACCATTAAGGATTAAACTTGAGGACTTAATTGTGATAATTCTTTGGAAATTTTTTGAAATTTAAAACCACCTTGCCTTACTCTTTGTTTCACATAGGCTTTGCTGCATAATGAGTTTTTGGGACAATACTTCTGTTCAGCACTCAGTACAACACCTGGCCGTATATGTTCCAACTATGTAATGTAAGTTGTATACAATGTTATAAGGGGTTTCCTTATCACTGAGATGAGGTATAGGGGGTCCTATGGTGTTAGAGGTGGTACAAGTCTTTTTAGGGACAACAAACCTTTCTAAGCCTACATTTTCTCACTCATAAAGTGAGTCATTATGCACTGATGCATGTGAGTATGTAGTACTTATATTCTGCTATAATCAAATTGTTTTCAATGTGGAGAAAGGTTCACTGGGGCCTTTTGAAAGATTAATAATGTTTGAGTTTTTGAGTGATTTTGAGTTTTCACTTTTCAGAACATTTGAATTTAAAACAGGCTGCTTTAATAGTTTAGCAAAGCTTATAGTCTTGATATATGGATTCTGTGCTGTCTGCCCAGACCATGGACCACAGTAGGAGCTAACAGGCAGCAGGAGCATAAAGGGAGTAACATTAGGATCTGGATCTAGTGTTTCCCTCTGCTCACATAGTGTTGTGTATGACTGACTTGGGATTCTCCCTATCTGTGTTTATGTTCTTTAGTGAAAACACATATTTCAGCAACTTGAGAAAGAAATCTCATTTTTGCATCATGTCCTTAAAACAGAAATACAGGTTTTAATAAACTTAGAAGTCCTTGTATTCTATTTTTAATATTTTACTTAATCATTTGAAATTGATACAAAAATAATGAGAGAAAAGAGAATGCTGGTATCCTAAATCCCTTTTGGGAGTTCTTAGTAATATGAAAAATTTCTATTTTGAATTACCAACCATAAATACCTCCAGGAGGACAGGTTTTATATACTGGGCCTCCTCTCCTTGGTTTGATCTAGGTGTGTCATGTTTGTAACACAGAGTGACCACCAGACTGCTGGGCAGGATGCAGTGGTTGGAAGTGTGGGACTAGATAAGGAGGAGCCATCACAGGCTTCATGCTCACATAGGGCTCCTTCTCACAAGAAGAAAGAAGCAGTTCCTCTTACAGCAGAGAGGCCATGGCTATTTTAAGAACTGCTAAATATCAAATGCACAAGAATGGCAGCAGGCCACCACTGAGGCTGCAGCATGTGTTTTAGTACCAGGTGCTTTTCCACCTGTGGAAGAAGCACCTATATGCTCCATCCTGCTCTGTTCCAGCTGGCTTTTAAGGTCTAAGTCTGTTTCCTGGGCCTGCAGGTAATATCCTGTGGCTGAGTATCTGCAATGCTCATCACAGTGTTGGAGTGAGAGCCGACAGACATGACTCTGGCTGGAAGCCCTTTCTTCCCTCTGTTCCTGGTTTTAGAATTCTTAGCCTGTTTTTAGGAGGGTTATCTTGAGGGTAAGCAGAACTACAAGGAACTTTGATCATCTAAGGAAGGGGCATAGGCATCACCATTTAGGCTACAGTTTTCCTCATCAGGAGTAAGTGAAAGATCACTTTATAAACATTTCTGTCCTTGAAGAGGATAGTATTACAGACTTGGAAATAAATGAATTTGAACAAGTAGAAATTTGGTTCATAGTGTGACTGTATACTTGGCCAAGTTCATTAAGCCAACTTCCCTTCCTCTTTTAAATGAGTATGATATCTATACCCCTTCAATTTATCTTATTCTAATTATTTTATTCTAATTATTAAGTAAGATATTAGGTGCAAGTTGCTTAGCATAGTATCAAGCTAAATTCTAAGTTTTCAATGACTGGTAGCTATAGCTATTGTGTATAAAGGGATAATTGTTGAATTTTGTTAACCTATAGATTTTTTTTTAAGGAATAGCAATATATTGACTAAAATTTCACAGATGCTAGGAATGAAGTTATGTCCTTTCTGCATTTGATTTCAGGTGTTCTGGTGATGAATTCTTGATGATACAGGACATCGATCTCTCACCCTGGGGGTTGTGGAAGAATCACGTGGCTTTGGCTTCTCTGATGATTATTTTTCTCACAATTGCATACCTAAAATTTTTATTTCTTAAAACACCAATTTTAAGTTCTGCTTCAATTTTCTATGAATTAGATCCACATTTAAAAAGGACCTTGATTTAAGTATCTAATGAGAATATCTTGTTATGTTCTGTTCATTTCCATTACACTATAGATCAGCAACAATTATTTTTAATACAAAAATACAGGACAACAAATTGAATTAAACATCAAATAACCCAAGCCAAAACCTAATGATATTACATGTTTCATTTTAATTTATCTCATCAGACAGCAAGCATTAGGAAGAAATGCTGGCTAATTTATTAACCTAAGGGGGAAAAAAGGAGGATTTAACTCTAGAATTTCTTGACAAGTTGCTAATATTTCTGGTATCAGTTTCCTCATGTTCAAAATGAGTAGGCAGATTAGTAGCCCTCCAGTTGTAATAGTCTATATATCTTTGATCTGCCGTTCTTCAATAAATAACAAATGTGTTAATGTTGTTTTGGAAGTAAAAAACTTCAAATACTTTCTCTGCTTATATTTCTTGAATTAAAAAGATCCATGCTGATAGAAAATTATAGCATGTCCTACCACAGCAATATCTGCAAAGTCTCCTGCAAGAACTTCCCAAGGCTAGATTTGGCCATTCCTCGGTCTTTTTAGCTTTGAAAACCTTAGATTTATGGGTCATTGCCTGCTATATCTGTCCCTGCATAAGATATTTCACTACTTGGATGCTTCATTTATTTCCATATATTCTCTGCATTGTTCATTTACCTGTAACAGGAAAGTATTTACAGTTCAGTGAATTTTCATATTTGAGGATATGTGTGCAGCCACTAACCTAGGTCAAGAAGTGGAACATTACCACCACACTGGAACTCTGCATTTCCCTCCCCAGCACTATTCTTTCTCTCTCCATTGTTGTTTTGAATGGTCACTTGGGTATTCATCTCTGTTTTTGTTACCAAAACATCACTATATCTCAGGTTTTCGCTCTTTGGTACACAGGTACATGCTTAAAACCCTCTTAAACTTTTTAAAATTTATTTATTTATTCTAATTTGTTATATATGACAGCAGAATGCATTTCAATTTATAGTACACATATAGAACACAATTTTTCATGTCTCTGGTTGTGCACAAAGTAGAGTCACATCATTCGTGTCTTCATACATATACTTAGGGTAATGATGTCCATCTCATTCCAGGATATTTCCTACCCCCCAGCCCCCTCCCTTCTCCTCCTTTCCCTTTGCCCTATCTAAAGTTTCTCCATTCCTCCCATGCTTCCCCATCCCCCATCTCAATTATAGATTAGCTTCCTCATATCAGAAAAAAAACATTCGGCATTTGGGTTTTGGGAATTGGCTTACTTCACTTAGCATAATATTCTCTAACTCCAACCATTTACCTGCAAATGCCATGAATTTATTCTCTTTTAATGCTGAGTAGTATTCCATTGTGTATATATACCACAGTTTCTTTATCCATTCATCTACTGAAGGGCATCTAGGTTGGTTCCACAATTTAGCTATTGTGAATCGTGCTGCTATAAACATTGATGTGGCTGTGTCCCTGTAGCATACCCTTTATAAGTTCTTTGGGTATAGACCAAGAAGAGGTATAGCTTAGGTCAAATGGTGGTTCCATTCCCAGTTTTCCAAAAAATCTCCATACTGCTTTCCAAATTGGCTGAACCACTTTGCAGTCCCACCAGAAATGTATAAGTGTTCCTTTTTCCCCACATTCTCACCAACACTTATTGTTGTTTGTGTTCTTAATAACTGCCATTCTGACTGGAGTGAGATGAAATCTTAGAGTGGTTTTGATTTGCATTTCTCTAATTGTTAGAGATATTGAACATTTTTTCATATGTTTGTTGATTGATTGTATATCTTCTTCTGAGAAGTGTTTGTTCAGGTCCTTGGCCCATTTATTGATTGGGTTATTTGGTTTATTGGAGTTAAGATTTCTTAGTTCTTTACATATCCTAGAGATTGATGCTGTATCTGATGTGTGTGTGATAAAAATTCACTCCCATTCTGTAGGCTTTTTATTCACCTCACTGATTATTTCTTTTGCTGAGAAGAAGGTTTTCAGTTTGAATCCATCCCATTTATTGATTTTTGATTTTGTTTCTTGCACTATAGGAGTCTTATTAGGAAAGTTGGGACCTAGTCTGACATGATAAAAATTTGGGCCTACTTTTTTTTTTTATTAGGTGCAGGGTCTCTGGTTTAATTCCCATGTCCTTGATCCACTTTGAGTTTTGTGCATGGTGATAGATAGGGGCTTAATTTCATTTTGTTGCATCTGGATTTCCAGTTTTCCCAGCACTATTTATTGAAGAGGCTATCCTTTCTTCAACTCATTGTTTTGGCATCTTTGTCTAATATGAGTTAACTGTATTTGTGTGGGTTTGTCTCTGTGTCCTCTATTCTATACCATTAGTCTACAAGTCTATTTTGGTGCCAATACCATGCTGCTTTTTTTTTTTTTTACTATTGCTCTGTAGTATAGTTTAAGGTCTAATATCATGATGCCACCTGCTTCACTCTTCTTGCTAAGGATTTCTTTAGCTATTCTGGGTCTCTTATTTTTCCAGATGAATTTCATGACTGGTTTTTCTATTTTTATGAGAAATGCCATTGGGGTTTTGAATTTCATTAAATCTTTATAGTGCTTTTGGTAGTATGGTTATTTGGACAATATTAATTCTGCCTATCTAAGAACAAGGGAGATCTTTTCATCTTCTAAGGTCTTATTTAATTTTTTTCTTTAGCATTCTGTATATTTCATTGTAGAGGTCTTTCACCTTTTTCATTAAGTTGATTCCAGTGTGTGTGTGTGTATTTTTTTTTGAGGCCCTTGTAAATGGGGTTGTTTTCCTACTTTCTCTTTCAGAGGATTTCTCACTGATATACAGAAATGCCTCTTCAACATTTAACAAACTTTTAATTTTAAATAGTTTTTAATAGAAAAGTTGCAAAGACAGTGTGGCAACTTTCCATGTGCCCTTTGCCCAGATTCCTTTTATGCTAATATTTAATGTACCAAGCTCCATCAGTCCACTTCAGATTCTACCACATTTTTACTAGTTCTTTTATTGTTATGGGATCTGATTCAAGACTTCACATCACATCTAGCTCCTCTTTTTAGATGAAAATATTTCTAGGAATTAAGGGGTCAGGGAAGGTAAAAACAAAGTTTGCACGCACACATTTATTCGAATCTGAATAAATCAGTATATGTAAAAACAAAGTAAACATTGATGAAGTTATCAGATAGAAGAGAAAGGAAGCATCCATACTTAACCCATACAATAAACTTTTATAAATCAACAAATGGACCTTCACCCAATTGAAAAATAGGCTATGAACAAAAACATACTTGTTCCCATTATAATCAAAACACAATATTTTAAAGCTTTGAACAGGCACCTTATAAATGGGAAACTCAAGTGTTTTACAACTATATGAAGACATACCCAACCTTATCATGAATCAAAGAAAGGCAAAGCAAAATGAAGTCTCACTTTAAACTCATTCCAATAGGAAGCTGACAGGTACCAGTACTAGTGAAGGGACAGGTAAAACTGGTGTCCTCATACCTATACTGGAACTATAAACTGGACAGTCATTCTGGAGGACAACCTAGCATTTCTGGGCAAATGTATTTATATAAGTGATTCTCAGCACTCCAACTTCTATTTCATACCTACAGAGAAATTAATGAAAAKTGATGAATGGGATTATGTATGTTAAAAATTTTTAAATGGAGGTATTAGAGACAATCATTCACTATATGCCTGAATAAATAAAACATGGCAGCTGCATGCTATGAAATACTACATGATCATCAGAACAACTTACTAGAGCCACATAGTACAAAATATACCATAATTACACAGTGTCAAGCAAGATAAAGTCCAAGTATATCATAAACACTTGTGCTTCAACACATAAAAGATGTATATATACAAACATATATAGGTGTGTGTGTGTGTGTGTGTGTGTGTGTGTGTGTGTGAAATGTATTGGCTTATATAAAGACTTTGGACACATTTTGCTTAGTCATATTCAAAGGAGAGAGATGAAGATAAAAATAGGGCAATTGTCATGGCCATGGTAAAAACATTTGTATTTTGAACTCAAAGGATGACTTGGAGGATTGTTTTTCAAACCTTTTAAATATTATGCTTTGATCTAATGAGAAACAAATGTGTTATGTTCACTTGAACAGTCTGGAAGGCCAGTAGCAGTGGTACATACATACAAGAGGATCTCAAGGCAACTTGGTGAGATTCTGTCTTAAAATAAAAAATAAAAAGGATGGGGAGGTATCTCAGTGAACATAATGGAATAAAACAAAGCATTAGAAAATTTCCTCTTATGTATTTCTATTTTTTTTTTTTATTTCAAAGCTTGGACTCAGAGATAAAGTAACAAATCTAACAATCTATATTTGCAACTACACATTGAACTTCATGGATGCTCAGATTTGTTTGATAAAATAAGGGACTGATGAGGATAAATAACAAGATCTGTGTTAACTCCATTAACTCTATGGCCATTCAACATACCTTTTTAGAGTTCAAGTTCATGGGCATATGGGTTTGAGGGAACACTGGCTGCCTCCAATTCTAATGTATACTACATTTTCAAAGCCACTTTGTTTTCCAAGCTACATGATAGTTTTTAACTATTATTGATAAATAAAACATAGTTCATCTTTTAAACACAACTTTTACCATAATCCTTTTATTTTCTTGGGGAACTGGATATACTTAATATTTCCTCCATGTGACAGGTTCATAGTGAAGAGTGCTAAATATTGATTTTTCCCACCACACTTCTCCATTGCACCCTTTCAATGAGATGCCTTTGCCTTTTTATGCAGCCTTCATGTTGTCTAAAAGAGCCCATTTTAGTTAAATATTTGGTTTACTTTTTCCTCAATAGTAATAAATATTTCCAGTCAGTAGAAGAATTGGCAGTTAATAAGAGAAAAAGAATATAGATGGCTCATATAAAAAAAATCAGAACTTTAAGAAATTATAAAATCAATTCCATTTTGATTTATTCAATTGGCAAAAATTAGTACTTTTTTAATGGAGAATTTTTTTTTTCTTTTAGAGATCAGTGATGGGTGTGATTTCAAGTAAAAATGTTAAGTACATTTTACTCTCTTGAAACAAACTTACATCTGCTGAAAAATCTCTACCTTAAAGTTTTAAATGTTTCTTTCTTTCAAACTCTGGAAGAAGTCCTTCCTAGGACTTCTGTCTTTTGCAAAGCAACATCTGAGGTTCAAAATTTTTTACATTTCATGCATAAATTTTTTGTTTCAATTCAACTAAAAATAAATGCTATATTTAAAACAACATTTCCTGTGTTAGGAGGTGGGAAGATTGGCTCATATTATTTTGGCATTTGTATTATTTGGCACAAACATTTTAAAGAATTGTCTGGAAATTTGCATCAAGACTATGTTTTCATAATGATTGATCTAATTATTATATTTTC